AATTCGGTTTCATTAAAAGTCTGCAATATTTACACAACATCTACCACTCTAAATGATCAATTATAGCTGGTATATGATTGCAAATAACTGTAGCTGTTGCTGCAGGTGTGCAGCGGAAGCAGACAGGTGGTAACACGTGACACCGCATTCTGCCAACCAATGAGAAATAACAGAAACTCCTGCCAAATATTTAGACACTATATTAACAATGAAAGACTTTCAAAAAATCATTTTACTCTTATGTATAATTTATTAGATGTGAGACCTCCCCTAGTCCAAAAATATTCGGAAATATAATAATGTAAAAACATCATAAGGGAGGTTGTTATCAGCCAAATCTATATTATACATCCCGTTATTAAACTTGATCATCATGTTTTCTAGCCTATGTGAAATTACAAAAATGTTCCAGGGATTATCCTCTGCTAGAATCATGTGTGATGATTTTTTTAAGCAAATAAAATGCGGCGAAAGATAACAGCAGTGAACTAAACTTATCTGAGATCAGCTTAATAACCACTTTACAGTTTCCATCAGACTGTGACACCTGCGTCACGACGCACGGGCATTTAAACCTCCCCTGAGTCAAACAACAGGGTGAATTGTGTCATTTGCTCAAGGACACTTCAGCAGGGCGGATGTTAACAGTCAATAAGTTTGTATTGATTCCCATAAAGACCTGTTTCCATGACATCTCTGTGAAACTGTTGTGAAAAGTAACACGGACAGCCTATTCTGTGGAGATGCTGTGCCAAGGGACTACTTTCTTTCATCACACACACACACACACACACACACACACACACACACACACACACACACACACACACACACGGGGGGGCACGGAGCAGATATCTCGCCAAGAGAATTAAAAAGTCGTCGAGCGCACTTCTGCTGCAGCTGATTACCGGAGAGGGTGGTGCCCATCAAATACACTTCAAATCCATGCAGAGACGCGGTGCGCGCAATCAGCGGTCTGCTAGCAATCCCGTCCTTTCTCGTTCACATAAACACCACTTAAACGAAAATATACACGGCCACCTACAGCGCGGGGAAAGTGATGAGGGGGTACCCACCTCGACATTACACTGTTTTCAATTAAAGCGACAATGCTGAGTGAACTGCAGGCGACACTGCGGAGACAAAGAGCCAGGAAACCAATTAGGATGCAGCTGCAAATTAATTGTTTGAAAATAAAATGATAATAATAAAAAGTTTTGTATACACTCAAAATGCGTAATTAAAAATATTGTCGCAAAAATAACAATTTAGTATATATTTTAAACATTTAAAATATTGCATTTGTTTATTTTAGAGTTGCTGTAATATGAAGAGGAGATGAACAAGTTTATTTTCTAAGACGCACTATTTTTTTATCTTCAGTATTTCCGCGCAAAAACATCTTGCCACTTGTGTGTGCATCTAGAGTTACAATATTTACATGCTCATCCTTTGCACTTGTAGTACTCCATAATATGAGAAAATAGAATAAATAAAATCATGAAAATCTATATTTTATTATCAAAAGATTAGAAACTGCAGGCCCTCACTAATAAAGATCATATGTAATTTGTAAAACCCGCCATCTTAAATGAATTTCAACCTTTTTACTCCAACGGGATTTTTCTAAATATATGTACGTTTTCATATATTGGAAATAATAGTGATTTAAAATAAAAAAAAAAAATCTGTTTTTCCAGATTGTATCACTTCAAGACAACCGTTTGAACACACGACATCAAGTGCGTACACTACAAATAAGTTAAACATTTAATTTAGGCAACTTATTTGCTCCACTAACCGAGTACGTGATTCTCATATGTTTCTGTTGCTTCAAAACCTGATTCAAGTTCAAGTCGGATGACTTTAAGGCCGGTTGATCGATCACTCTGTCGCACTGTCCTCCAAACAAAGTCCCGGCGGCCTCTCTGTGACCCTCTGCGGCCCTCCGAGGAGAGAAGCTGGCTTATTTCTCAAAGATGTTCGCATGTAGAGAACATTTTATCTACAAGTTTGACACTTAAAATTCTCTGAGTCATTTTGGACCGGGCCTCATCTCCCCAACTGTTCAATGTGTTTCTGTGATCCCAAATCAAATTACACTGCTAACCGCTGCAGCTGCTGGATCTATAATCCGCCGAGCTGCCTAATTGGTTAGAATAAGCAATAATTTCGAAGTTAACCATGACGTGAGTTGTTCACACGATGAAGCACAGTGTTGCCTTGTAGTGCCTGTGAGAGCACAGCCTGTGATGTCAAGATTTTAATGTGCAATGATGAAATTAAGCTTCAAAAAAGCGCCACAAGACAAACCTGAACGCACTGTAAATATCAAAGTATTCTGCCTGATAATAATGTTCAGGTTGCACAAGGAAAATGCCTAAATTATATATTTTTGGCCTGCTGACGCAGTGCGCCATGGCACAAGAGTTGACAGACGGGGGAACGTAACCAATAAGAAACTATGTATGTGTACATTTTCTGCAGTACGCTGCAACAACGTGATGTTAAAGGCTCCAAAATTGGTTTCAGTGCACTAAATAACGGTAAGACAGTCCGGAAAGCCTGTCAGGACTGTGCACTCTGCGGTGTACCTCCACCTAAGTGGCCGAGCATTCCTGAGGATGCAGCGCTGTCAAATATTTCATGATGGGACGTCATGGAAAAGTGCATGACTTCGTCTGCGATGGAGCAACGGGGAAGCTCTGACCTCGGGACTAAAGCCTTGGTAATGACGAACACGAGCGGCCACCGACGCTGTTACAGCAGCTATTCGCTTTTAAAATATGTTAAAATTACCTGTGAAATATTCTTAAATTCTGGAGACATACTGCATAGCTGGCACACACACAACAGTGCATCTGCTGCTCTGATGATGCTTGTTATTTCCGGTTGATCACTGCATTATTATTGAATATTAAACTAGAATCTTAGTTAATAAAATACAACTGTTTTTTATAGATTTTATTGAAGACGGAAGAAGCACTCCCGGAGCAGCGCATCACCATCCAGCACTGGTGCGTAAACATTACACCACGGCTTTGGGTGGACATGCAACTTTTTCAATATATATATATAGGCCTATACATAACAAAGAAAGAATAACATGACATGGGGCGACTGAGCGTGTGAGAAAGAAAAAGCGCCCTAATGGAATGAAGTCATCAGCGGTAATTAAATGCAGTGGGCAGAGGGAGGACGGGAGCGCGCCTGCCCCCAGTGCGCGCTGGGTGGTCTGCTACGCTGATAAATGTGTGGCCCTCACTCCAGGCGAGTGGCCGAGCAGGCACCGGTTAAAACAATACTTACATTCATTTATCCATGGGTTTAAATCTCCTCTGCAACAGCGAAAACTAGCAGCGACATGTCTGTCACCTTTGGGCTGACAATGAAAACCTGACAGTGGATTGATTTCTCGCTTTCTGTGGCAAACCGCCTGAAACAAAAGAGGGACTGGGCATTTCCGGTAAAAAATCAATAAACACTGACATTTCAGTTATAAATTAAAATTTGATTCAAATACTTCTCATATCATTTAACCTCTAAGCATGTTGTCACGTTATTTTACAGAGCAAAAAAATATTTTAGGAGCTGCTCCTTTACGCACAGGCAACATGGTCTGGCTTTGCGCACAGAGTAAAAAATCTTCCACTATTTTCTCCGGTGTTATTTTCCACTGTGTCAAAACCAACAGTCATCACGAGCCACTAGAAACAGTCACGCCGACAGAGATCAGAAGCACAACAAGCTCGACTAACTGAACCCATGGAGAGGCAAAAGGTTGCAGACTGCGGCTATCGAGATCTCAAGGGAACAATAAGCAATCTACTGTCAACAGTTTTAGGTTATGGACCGATCGTCTTTCAGTAGCTCTCCCTCACAGCTGCGTAAAAGGCAGTAAAACTATCCAAAATTAAGCGTTTCGAATTTGGGAACAGACACTGGAGAAGCATCTTCTTCTGAGTGAATTACAACTCAGTTAAAGCAAAAACATTCTGTGGAGCTTAGGACATAATTAAGGCTTCGTTTTCCTAATTATCCTATAAGACACCATGTCACATAAAACAAACTGATCATCCACTGTGGCGCGTCATTAAAGCGGCCTCACTGATATTCTGACTGAAAAGTGTTAAATCCACTTTACCTTCATTACTGGATGATCCGATGGTGAACTGCCTGCAGGAGTCGATCTCAAGTCCCCGTCCGAGTTTCTGTGCGCACAGCTCGGCAGAGCCTCCACCTCACTCCTCCTGCGTCCCTGCGTAAATATTATGACTGCATTACACAAACAATATTCATGTGTAAAAAAAGGTCCAACATCTACACGGGGACGCCGCGGACAGACGGGCATATCGCATCAGATTGAGTATTAGCTGATCTAACGGGGCTTTTGCTTGATTTTTTATTTAAAGAAGGCCAGGGAAAATGTTTACATTCTGCTGTATAAACATCCTGCCCATGTTCCTGTCTATCTTTTACAGAAATCAAGAGGGTGGCTTTGAATATGAGGGGCACGCTCTCTGGTAAATACTTTTCATACAGTAAAAATGTTTTATAAAATATGTCAGTAGTTTAATAACAATAGAGACACGACCTGTTTGCCGTGCTGGTGCATCAGACATGTGGCCTGGAATGGAGAGATGCTATTTACACGGCAGGTTTGTGAATGTATAAAGTTTGCGTAAACATAATCAATATTCAGGTTTAGAAAAATAGAATGGATATAAAATAAAGTTAGACAGAAAACAATGCAATCACAATCTGCATCTAAAGGCCCTGTCCAGTGTAGGTACAATCAGTGTGTGGTCACATAATACATGATAATCCATTTAAAATTCGCTCTACTCCACAGTTTATACCAGTAGGGTATTTATGTTATTGTGGGCTATACGGGAGATATATTCCTTATTTCAGTGTAAGGAAGGGGGAAAAAACATTTCCCTGAAAAGTGAACGCACACAGATGTGCATGCTTACAGCCCACCACTGGAGTAGGAGGGAACTGGGCGGGTCCCAACATTAGGATGGCCAAGACATCCAGCTTCCAATGCGCTGATGGCAACAGATAAGTAAAAAGTGAGCTCCTCGGACGCACGACAACACACCAACTGAAGTGGAAAGCGGCTCCTGTTCTGCTCCTTATCCCATTTCGGACGCTGAGTACAAGGCGGTACGGCTTCAGACTGCTGCAGGACAGAATCAGAAGGAAGAAGCTTGAGTTAAGAAGACACTCGCGCCTTTGGCTCGTGCGTCAAGTTTGCCTTCTGTTACTTTTTTTGGCTCTTTATGTCAGCGAATTAATATCGAAACTTTCGGGTTTATAGCTGGAAAGGTGGAAAGCAATCATTTCTTTTTGCCATCTCGAAGACTAAATTTAACTAATGACGGCAGAGGTCCAGCAGCCCCCAGCGCAGACTCCTGCCCAAAGCAGCCCGATGTCTGCCCCGGAGAAGCCGCACGGACAGACGGCGGTGATGGAAACCGCCTCCTCCACTACGAAAACCAAAAAGACAAACGCAGGGATCCGCAGACCAGAGAAACCCCCTTATTCATACATTGCTTTGATAGTCATGGCTATCCAGAGCTCTCCGACCAAGCGCTTGACGCTCAGTGAGATCTACCAGTTCCTGCAGAGCCGCTTCCCGTTTTTCAGGGGCTCATACCAGGGATGGAAGAACTCCGTGCGTCACAACTTGTCTCTAAACGAGTGCTTCATTAAGCTGCCCAAGGGCCTCGGCAGGCCTGGGAAGGGCCACTACTGGACTATCGACCCGGCTAGTGAGTTTATGTTCGAGGAAGGCTCCTTCAGAAGGAGACCCAGGGGTTTCAGGCGCAAGTGCCAGGCGCTGAAGCCCATGTACAGCATGATGAACGGCCTAGGATTCAACCACATCCCCGAGTCCTACAACTTCCAAGGGAGCGGCGGGGGCCTGTCCTGTCCGCCCAACAGCTTGTCTCTGGACAGTGGGATTGGGATGATGAATGGACACTTGGCAGGTAACATGGAAGGGATGGGTCTGTCCGGGCACACCATGTCACACTTGTCGACCAACAGTGGACATTCCTACATGGGAAGTTGTACAGGATCCACTGGGAGTGATTATCCCCACCACGACAATTCCGCCTCCCCTCTGCTCACCAGCGGAGGAGTCATGGAGCCTCATCCTGTCTACTCGAGCTCAGCCTCGGCGTGGGCTCCGGCCCCCTCGGCCTCGCTGAATAACGGGGCCTCCTACATAAAGCAGCAGCCTCTGTCTCCTTGTAATCCAGGGGCGAACCCGCTGCAGCCGAGCTTGCCCACACATTCACTAGACCAATCTTACCTGCACCAGAACGGGCACAGTACTACAGATTTACAAGGTAAGCCAAACAGCAGGCTCCTAATTCACCTCTAATTTAATTACTTAAAATGCAACATGCTGCGTAAAACTGCAGAGAATTGTATAAAGAAAACGCGTGTGAGAAAATGAAATCAAAGAAATAAAATGCAGGAATACTCACAAATGCGAAACCATTTAAATACCAGAAGGTCCAAACAATATTTTCTATGCAGGGTCAAGCCTGGCGCGTCACAGATTTTTATGGTCCTGTGCCAAACATGGGTCTAATGGAAATATTCAGCAGCCTCACATTAGTTATTTGGAAATCGCTGCGTTTAATTTGCTGTCACTAAATACAGGCTTATTCCCTTTGTGCAAAACTGAAGAATTACAAAGAACTCCATTATGGGAGACGAAAGAAAGAAAGCGCCTATTTTCTCCCGTGAAAATGTGAGCTTCATCTTCTCAAATTTAACTAGATGACAGAATAAAATCCAGGTATCAAGGGACTCAACCTCGCATGGTTTTAGTTTCTGGAAGTGATATAAAAAAAGAGAGGGAAGGGAGAGTCTGCCGGGACAGTTTAGAGCCGTGCCAATCTCCGAGCAAGAAAAACAAGCGCGGTCAGGACCAGCCTGCCTTGCCCCGAGGCCCCGAGTCCTCCGGGACTGGCGTGCAAGAGGGCCACTGTCAATTAGTCCTGCAAGCCCGCCTCCCCCTTTTGACAATCTTAATCGGGCTTGCTAAATGGACTTTGGGTCTGGGAGGAATATGCACATGTTTCTGAGTGAAGCTCCATATCTGCCCTCTTCAAATTAAATACAGAAAATTCATCTCAAAATATAATTAATAATATTGGGGAAAATATTTGACGTTGGGTTTTCTTTTTACGCACAAAAATTGCGTGCCAAAACAGCATTGTTTAGGGATGAACACATTTAATTCAGCCTGGTTTCAAGTTAATATAGACCAATATTATTATATACTTTTATTACTAATATATCCATGAAATTAAAGTCAAGCTAAGAGGAAATGTCTGTAATTAATAAGTGTTAATTAAATGATTAAAACCTGCAGAAATATTTATATGAATGTTTAATCATCCTATTATTTTTAGATGCTTTCTCAGAACTACAGCAACATTTAAAGTCTAATTAATACTATTTGTGACCTTACTGATCTGCACTGTTTTTTAACCCCTATTTGAATCTACCTCTCCGCAGGTATTCCTCGGTACCATTCCCAGTCTCCAAGCATGTGTGACCGAAAGGAGTTCGTCTTCTCGTTCAACGCCATGACGTCCTCAGCGATGCACTCACCGAGCAGCGGCTCTTACTACCACCACCAACAGGTCTCCTACCAGGACATCAAGCCCTGCGTCATGTGATGCCTTCACGGACAAAAACCTGCAGCCCACAGGACGGTGTCACAGACTTGAGCCATGCAGCAGGGTGAACTGAAAATAAGAACAAAACGAGTTAAATAACCACTGAGAGACATGAAGGCATGCCCCGGCCCATGGAGAGCGCTCACTGCTTCAAGTAGACCGGACTACTTTTCTGTACACACAGCGACAAAGACACGGAGACAGGCCAATCACAACGCAACTACATAATAATGATAATAATAATAATATATAATAATAAAAAATATACTTTTTTTTCATGCCATCAACATCGACCAGCGGGGTAAAGACTGGGTGTATGAAACCCTGCTGCTGTTTGGTACTTAGTCCTGCAGAGCGGATGACTACCACTTCACACTTTTGTTTATTCTTTAAGTAGGCCAATGTAAAAAAGCACACGTCCATTTTCTCCGTCTAAAGTTCTTACTTTTATTTTCTTTGACAAATTAGACTGAGGCTTTTTTTTTTTGGACATTCATACCAGCGTTGAATTCTGAAATGAACAATTATGGACATCACATATACATGTCCATATATACTGTGTAAAAAAACGATGAAGGCACTTTTTGAATAGCCTATAAGCGCATCTTTTTATTTATTCTGTAGGCCTACATATTTTAATTTCAGGCGAATTGGCCAAGGTGGTATATTCTGTATTGGCAATATTTGTCAGAACGCTTGTTATTTGTTTTAAAATGAAAATTTGAGGATATATTGTAAGCACTGTTATGTCGTTTGTGTTAGATATAGACCATTACTTTTCTGCACTGTATACTTACATAATGTTAGGAGAATTAGCAAGGGTCCATCAATGAGGGCTAATCTTTAGGGCTATATTACAACAAATCATTTGTAAGAAATAAAATATATCTGTTGGGCTGTTTCAGCCTAAATCCACAAAAAATATCGATTTCATCACACACACATGGTTCATTCCAAAATTTGGGAGGACACTGCAAATAAATACCCCGCAAAAACTTTTAATCTAACGTCAGTGATATCTACCACACAATCAACCCAAAATTAGAATTTAAAGAGTGGCGCAATTTTTGTTTGTTTTTTTTCCCCAGAAAAATAACAATATTTATAATGTAGGCTTGCAATTATTTAATCAACCAAACTAAAAAAAAAGGGTAATCTGAGTTCATGTTTAGTGATACTGAAGCCAAAAAAGGGAAAAAATAATAAGGTCCTCACTATAGTAATACAGAAAAAAATGAACAAATCTGATTTGCACAAAGCAATAATTAAATGATAATAGATTTTAAATAAATGGTTTTAAAAGTCACTCGTCTTTTGCCCTCTATGTAACGAGTGTACGCAGCAATTAAGGCGGAACAAATCAGAGGCAGCACCACCATCGCTCTGCTTGTTTCCATCCAATGGATAATTCTACAAAGCTCAGGGGTGTCCACACAGGTGTAGATTTTATCCCTCTCAATATTTAGAACATTTGCATTTGTCCCAATAAAAACATGAAAGCAGCAGGACTTTTTTTTTCCAATTGTTGTTGTTGACATAAATTGATGCAAAAAAAGGCAAAAAATGGTGCAGAAAAAATCTCCAGAATGCAGGAAATTAAGTGTTTGATGCTCAAAAAATTTCTGGCAAAACACCTCAGACCTTCATTTCATGTGATCCCCCTAATGTTGAAACAAAACCTACACCCTTGGGGGCTCAAGATGCATAAGCCTTTGTTTGAGACTTGTTTTGTCTCAAAGCCCTAACAACTTATAAGAGAATAAAAGGTCCAGTGGGTTTTACATAAAACACGCTAAGGTTTCATTTTTCCATCTCAAAACACTCTTTACTTCTAAAATATTTCACAAATATCAAGTGCAAAAGGCAGAGCACAGGCACAGGAGTAAGATACACACAAATTATGAGTAAGTGAATGTCTCATCACATCATGGAAATACTACAGGCCACTAATTATATTACAGCATATTACAAAAGGAACATGAGCCAACTTACCAAAAATGCTCTTCACTGGATTTCTTATTATTTGCTGAATATAGCAGCTGCACAAGTCATAACTGTTGGTCTTACTGGCTCATATAACTGACTGCATATTAATGCTAATGTTAATTTGAATTGGCACAAATAAGAACGTGGAGGTAAAGTTTGAGGTTTTAATGAAGAAAACAGAAGTATGTGCTGTTGAAAATAATAACAGGTGCTCTTAATGTAGGAAAACATGGTGGGCAGTGATCTGTTTCCTGAGCATCCACATTTCACGCAGTCAAATTACTTTTGCAAGTTAGATCTGACTGAATTGTGATTTAAAATGTCTTCTAGCAAGTTTTACTGCAATGCCGTTGAGGCGTGTGTGTACACATACATCTGCACTTCAGGCCGTACACATGCTGTGTTTAAATCCGTGTGTAGCTTTGAAATCTCACAACATGACCACTAACTGAACCCCAGTAAAATGAGCGTGCCATCGAGCACAGGCTCAACAAGCAGGGGGAACAGCGCATTAACAAACTGATGACATTTGCCGAGGTTCAATGCTCTGGCGGGCCGAGGGAGAAGAGATGGGGCTCCACAGCTGTTCCCTCACCAGGCCTGGATGACAGCTCCATAAAAAGCCTGAGGCCTGCTCTGTGTAGACAGACATGCTGTGTGCTTGTGTCTCAATACAATCAAGGCCTCAGTGAAACCAGGACACTTGTCTGGCACTGCAGACTGACAGGAGGGGGATCTGTTACCAGGTAATGTCTGTGCAGAGATGCAGAGGGACACGATTAAAACATGATAGGGGACAAGATAAAGGTTATTGGGTGCTGTCAAGTCTGGATGAGTGGCTCGCATGTGTTTAATCATTTTAGTGTTTCAGTTTGAGTTAATCTCTTGCTCTTCACCAGTAGTACTGCAGGTAGAGCGGTCACAAAACAAGGCAGCAATATGTTGTCACACTAAATGATGTGTTTGCCATTAGAACACCACTTGGATGCATAAAAGTTTGCTCATTTCCCAATGTAAGAGTTAAAATAATAATATGTTTGTATTTGTGTGAGCTCAGTGGTCTGAGATATCATGCGTTAAATTTACCCTTTGACCTTTAATCACTGCCTCTTCAGTCAAACAGCCCATATTATCTGTAAGGATAGTTTAGGGGGAACAGGCAATTTTACAACTGGACAACAGCAATGTAGGATTTGTGTTTCTTCAGTTGGTTTGCAGATTGATCTCCAAAAATCGCAATCAGTGCAATTTCCTAAATGCTGCAAAAGAATGTGAAGACGCCCCCGTCAAATATTTGTCCAAATCAAACAGAGACACTACAGTTTAGTAAAAGAAGACACTAAGCCGGCAGGGTTCAGTCAAACGCTTTAGTAAAGAATGTTATAATGTGTTACAAACAGATGCATCAACACTACAACAGTTCAGCTAGGCGTGGTAGCATCTCTTAATCGTTACATGGTGAGGCTGGCTTCATTCTCAAACTGGCCTAACCAAACAGAATGCCATGAATGTGCCATTTCTACCAACAAAAGATACAAAACGTCACAAATGTAAATGTACAATGTCTATTTCCAAAATATTCTTAATAAGACCTAAGCAAGTAGAAAGCACAGTGAGCAAGTAGTAATCAAAAATTAAAGCTCGAACGAGGCTACACAAACCTCTAGATTTGTTTTTGTAAATTAAAATAAGTTTAGATATTTAATAGCTGCATCAAGATAAATGCTAGTCAGTGTAAACTGAAGGATAATTATGTTTTTGTTTTTTTTTTAGAGTACCTAAATCCTTGGTTTTGTGCAAGGATGAGTAGTGCAAGTTTTCAACTGAGTGAGAATTGTCACAATTACGGCCATTTAAAGGCATATGTATTGCTGTTGTCTGTAATCAAAATGGCTTAAAAATTTCCTATGTTGACGCCTTTTAAATTTGGTTGACGGGAGAGTATGCTCAAGATTTATGGCAATTTGTGTAAAATGAGCCACATTGCTATTTTACAATTTGGCAATGGAATAGGAAAATAATAATATTATGGTCAATTAAATATTAAAAACTGTGTGAAAATTGGGTTAAATATGTACGAGTGGTGACAAATGTGTTTAGCAAAAAATTCAAAATGGTGGAAAATCATGTGTAGTCAAACATCGGTGTGGCCTTTATGGATATATAAATGATATATAAGATATTTTAAATTGTACTCGTATGCTTTCTGACTCAGTAACAATCAGGGTTGTATAAATTATGTAAATGACCACATGGTGGTGTTATCTGCAACAAAAACTAGCCAGTCCTTTGGCCCATTGCCGCAGTAAAATGCGTTTTGAAATAACCAACAAGCAAATCAACAGGTCAGAAACCAAGGACCTCTTGGCAGAGGTAATACTGACAACTGGGTGTGGAAATAAACTGAACCGAACACTTCACAAAAATCTACTCCACACTTGTATTGTAACAAACAGACTGCATATTCAGTCTTTAGCTCAACAGGATAATAACTGCAGTCTATCTCTAAGAACGACTCAATAAACACCTCCAAGGACTGAAGGCTCTCGGGACACACAGACCAGGACGCGTGTGTGAATAAACAAGGCACATAGGTCTATTGTGAAATGATATGTACAAAATACTTTTCTAGTAAACTTCTTTTTGTTTCAATAGCTGCATATTGTACTCATATTGTAAGCTAATTAGCCTTAGCAGTCACTTTAGATGGTTCAAATAATTCATGTCCACTTGTCATAAATCCATAAATATTAACAAAAAAACCCCTAAATTCTTCTTAAGGCATTTAAGGTTGCTCCACATTTAATATTTCCCGGGCTGATTATTATTATATTATTGCTCGGTCTTTTCATTGGTGTCACTCTCAGTATCTGGCGGTGCCATTTTGGATTTCGGACCTGTTGATGGTCTTGGTCTCCTATTGGACGCTCCGGACCTCTTGCCTCCACGCTGGCTCTTGGCCAGCTCAGCCTGCAGACTGTGACCATTCAGACTGAGATCCTGCAGAGCCTCCAGGGCCTGCGCTGCAGCCTGAGGGTCGCTGTAGTCCAGGAAGGCCCTGTGTTGAGCTCCCTGCCAGGTGAGCCTCAGTGGGGCAGCCTCTCTCTCTCTGAGGGCGGTTTTCAGCTCGCTAACACGCAGCCCCGCAGGGATTCCCCCCAGGTAAACTGTGGTCACATTCAGAGGGAGCTTACGCTGAGACGTCACTTCACCTCCACCCTCCTCTTGGCCCTTCTCCCTCATGTTCTCTCCTCTTCTTCCCCTTCCTCTCCTATTGATCTCTCTCTCTTGGTCTCCCCCACCATCTCCTCTGCTGTCTTTCCTCACTCTAGTTGGGCGCTGTCTAGCTCTCTGTTCTGACTCCGCTATTTTCTCCTCTTTGGATTCTCCCTCGACTTCTTGCTGCATGTTCTGCTTTGGCCTCCGTCTGGTTTGCCTTTTGGGTTGACCGGTCTGCACACCAGGCTCTGCTGTAGTGGGCGCCACCCCCAGTGTTACATCCTTTCCAGCCTGTTCCTCTAGAGCACGCAGCTTCTTCAGGATGGGGATCTTCTCCAGCTTTTCTGTGTCCAGCTGAAGACACAAAATTGGATGGCCTCAGTAAGGCTGAAAGGGGAGGGGTGTCTCTCACACACACACACACACACACACACACACACACACACACACACACACACACACACAAACAAAGACAGCAAACAAATAGCCCTGCTCTGAGCCAACATTATGCTCATACCTACTGATGAGTTAAATTAATAACAAAGTGAAAGCTGACAAATTAATTTGGTATTATTCCATCCTGCTCACAGCCCGTGCTGCTGTAATAGCTATCTTTAAAGCAGCGGGACATTTCACTTCCCAAGCTGTTAAAAATAAAGACAGTGCACTTGATTTGTTGGGCCTGTAAGTGTCTTGGCAGCCTTTGATATGAACCAGTCCTGTAAAGGATATACGGGGCTATTGTTTTTACACTGGCCTGTTTGACCTGTCGTTCCCCCTGCCCCTGCAGAGCCAGGCTGGCTGGGCAGAGGAGCCTTTGATGATCAGACATGGCCTTCCTGTCGGTGAGGTCACTGGGTCCTGTTTACTTACATGCGTGTCTTAAGAAGCCCGGAGGTTGCACACAAACTCTCCACACGTTAAGAATAATGCCCCCATCATGTCTAATTAAAGACAAATTATCAGGTGGAAAAACACTCAGCAGCTTTCTGCCAGTGTCAGTGAATCAGAGGCAGTTTAAGGTCCAGACTCACATTTAAATATCGACAAAAGATAACGTGTGACTTTAAAATGATTATGCACAGTAAATTATCGTTTTGGTGGCTGTTCTTTTCCCCCATTGTTTTTCAGTCTTTTGTGTTTAAAGCTGGTTGTTTTGTGTCTTAGCAGTAGTGTAGTCACCATATATATGTAAGCACTGTTTAGAAAAAGATAAAATGCTGACTAATTCTATTATAATTATCATTACTGACTGAAAGCGTAAACAGAAAATAACAAAGAAAGACTTATACTGTGACAATTATGGGAGCAGAGAAATTAAATGCATACAGAAGTACAACTGATATAAAAGTGTTCTGATGAGGTGTGGTGTCATTACACGTCCATGAGAGGGCGGTGTTGCTGAGCAGAGAGGCTCAATGAACAGAGAATCTCTGCACTAGTTGCTGTGCTATCTGTGTCAGCTAGAGAGTCACGAAAAACAACAGCTACAGTTAAAATATTACAGCACACCTGACCTACAACTGTCTAATAACACATACACTTTATAAACAAAATGAAGGATTGTTTGTAACACACGTTTCAATCGGATAACTTTTAAAGTTCAACCCAAAACTGCATCCATTACAACCAATTTTAATCACTCAAAAAGTACAATTGTGTCAAAAAAGTAACTCAGATGCAAACTGTCCCATTGAGGTGTGAGAATATTTTGCAGTAATTTAAGCCTGAGCACTTAAAATGCAGCACAACACAGATTACTAATTCTGTAAAGATCATACAAGTTGAAGCATCACCATGATTGCCAAATGCTTTTTATAGTATAATCACTAGAGTAGGCCGCGCTGCCTACATACTGTTTCTCATTAAATTAAAAAACTCCTAAGACTGATCATCCATACGGACTGAATTACTGATGGCCTGCTTTAATAAAGCTGTTATCGATGATGACTATTTATGTTTTATATCCTTTACCCATGTTTATTGATGCAATATTTATAAACAAACCATAAAATCAAATAAACCTGAAACTGAAGTCTGATGTACTTTATGCCTGCATTGTGGACTCAATGGACATAATGTCACTAGACACAAAACAAACTTTTATTTTAATTTACCTTAGTCCAGATGATTCCCTGTGGCTTGGGGATCCCACAATTAGTTTTAATAACTCTGGTGGGTGTGAGGATGTAGTCCACAGTCAGGTCATGGCTTTCTATCAACCCCTCTGGAATGTCCACCACCTGAAAGCATCAATATCCCAATTAGCACCAAAGCAACAGGTAATTAATCACGTGTTTGATCATTAGCAGCATTTTTCGAACAATTTTAAGAATTAAGAGAGGAAATTGTTGAAATAGTATTTTCAATTTAGTTACTAGTTACAAAAATATATATGCATGTGCTCACATCAGTGTGAGCTGAAGACCTTTGGAATTTTTTTCCACACATTTGCCTTTATTTTAAACATTTTACACACTAAACCACAAACTGTAGGAGCCATGAATTAATTTAGAAAGGAATACATTTTGTAAGATTAGTAGGATTAATAAGTTTTGGGATGAAGACAACAGCAGATGAAGCGCTCATGTGGGTTGCAGTATAATGGTATCCAGGAAGGTGCTCTTTGGTCAGGAAGTGCAGTACATCTTGAAAAAGGTGGCCTAAATGAGGCCACCTGTGAACCCTGAAGCTTTATGCCCTGATGAAGGCCAGTAAGCATGGCCGAAACATGTTGGTGATTTTAATGTTCATCATGAACTAGCCATTTAATAAAGGCCTTTTAACTTTTGCACCAGAAAAGAGTTGCCTTGGATTTTGTTTTTTCAAGAAGTTTTGGCATGGTTTATATTTTTGTATCGTTAAATGTTTTTTTTTGTTAGTGTTTTGGGATATCATTATTCAATATCATTTTGTGACTGCGGTTATTGGGCAAATCGGGTCACATGGATATGGGTGGTTACACTCATAATCTATATGAGCATCTCATCTTCACCTGTGTGGTTTTTTGGTTAGAGAGAGAGGGTGAGTGGGTCGCAGTATTTTTTGTTTAACGCTCTGTTCTTTGTTCGCTGTAAACATTTTCATTGTTACTTTGTGCACGTTATGATAAATTGATACCGTTTTATGAATATATTTATTTAACATATTTTTGGATCTCAGCGAAAGTTAAACAGGCCCAGCCTCAGCCTCTAAGCAACTTTCAGTTTTGTTTCCTACAGTCACTATACAAATTGATGACTTGAAAAAAATACAGTGATAAAATTATAATTTTATTTGACCACTGTGGATATAGCAAGCACCAATTGATAAATGACATTTTAATGCTGCGGTGTTTATCAGGTTTTTATTTGATAAAGTGAGTCAAAGTGCAGAGATCTTTAATCAAATTATTTAACCTGTTCTGGACAAAATAAAGAACATAATAAAGTTCCATGACACGACATGTTCAGGATTCTGACGAGAGAGTAACTAACCTGGCAGTCATGGACAACAGTCACCACCACAGTGGACTCATTCACAGCTCCCATTGAGGCCATCATGCCGTACTCCATGTCGGCGTAGCCCTCTCCTTTTCCAAGCCGCAAGCCTGCATGAGGAGACAGGAGCCACAAAGGGCAGGTTTTACATTATGTGATCAAGAATAACAGCCTACATGAATCTTCAGTGCAGCATTTTCCTGTCTGGATTATATCAAAGACCCACTTTATGTGCAGAATCCAGAAATAACCAGCATCTGCATCACATTCAACATTATTTAAAAAGAAATAATGTAAAAACAGGATTTACTCTAAAAACTGCACTGAATTAAAACACGCTGACATGTTGAGGGTGGCTGCAGTAATGTTTTCAATTCATAAAAATAACCTAATCCAATATAGACTGATGGGAACATGGATGAGCCCTGTGCAACAAACGCTTAATGAGAACCATGTGGCATTGTACACTTAGAGCCATTTGGAAGTGTATGCATTATGGTAAACATGTCTGTTTCACCGCAACACTGCACCAGTTATCTCAGGCATTTTGAAAATGAGGATCAAAATACATTGTGAGTGATGGGACAATTTACATGGAGGGCAGAACACAGCAGAACCCACAAGGAGAGAAATGGATCTGATTATGTCCCCATTCTCATTTCTGTTCTTCTTCAAATCTCCCTGACAGGGTGTCCTGGTGCCTCAGAGGGCTACAAACACATGCGATGATCACAACGCAATATTAAATATGACTCAAGATGTTTGTCACATGCCATGTCCTTTTAGTCTACTGTCATTTTAAACAGTGTGATAAACAGCCATTGAAGGATAGAATTTCCAAAGATCAAAGTGCTGGTTTAGCTGAGTCACTATCTAATAAATGACTCAGTCTTTGGTCGCGGTCAAATATTGCTGCCCCTGTAGACACTGTGATGTCTATCACATCTCAAAATACACAGTATTGGATGGAATAACATACTGATGTTAGTCGTTAGTACTTAAATGTCCAGAGTGCAGGATTAAATGGTATCCAGCAGTGAAGTTGCAGAACTAAAACTTCTCCAATGTGCCAAGCATGTAGGAGAACTACTGTGGCCGACGCAAAAACGTGAACGCTTATTTTAAGGTAATGAAAACACATCAATTCTTATTTTCAAGTCATTATAAACTAATGAAAACATAGTTGTGAATATTATATACAATTTCTGCCAATAGATGCCCCTGAATCCTACACACTGCACCTTTAAACTGAAATAAATAATTTGTAAGTTTTTTAAATCAGCAACAATACAGGCCACACATGTGGCTTTACAGTGGCGGTCTTAAAGGTGTCAGCCCTGGTCGATTTGGTGACACCTGCAGTTAATTACTGGTGGTAACAACAAATGTGGTTTAATACTTCAGGTCACAGAGTTCTGGGGCAGCAAAATAAATCAATCAGTTGTTTTAATTGAGAAGTCAGGCAATAAGCTTCTTTTTTTTCATCATTCTGTGAGCAGCCGAGACCTGATGTAACACTGCATATGGCATGAGCCTGCAGACAGCACCTCATATTAAAGGAGTTGGTCACACCACTAAGAAGTTGGAGGTGTACAGTCTGTTGCCTGTAGCTCTTTATCTAACATCTGTTGCTCCTGCTCGTTCCATTGCTCCCTGCAATATTTCAAACTGATGTGCTGTCAACAAATGCCGAAAATGGCCGTTGTTTTGTTAGGCAGACACATTTTTGATGAATGATGGTGGCAGTGATAGGCTCAAAGACAAACACATTGCATTTCCTGCGATTACTTCATATCAGAGTCAACTCGTGTTTGGCTTGTTAAAGGCTTTCAATGTGAAGCTAATGCAGTAGAAAATGTTGGTTTTGCATTAGCAGTAACTTCATACAGCCTTTTTTCCCTCGACACCCAGTTCATAATACTGCTGTGTCTGTGATTTTTATAGCCTCCTCTTGGATGCATTCTGCTTATGATCTGGCATCTCATCGCTACCTTTTTATAGAGTCCCAGCCTCACCTACACGCTGTGCTTTCTGAATCACAGCAATATAAGAATAAAATAAGAAAAGACAGGCAGAGGGAACACATTCACACACTTCTAGTGGGTTCTAAGTAAAGATTGAGAGGGATTACTTTTGTAGTCTGAACATTGTTTTAAAAGAAAAGCCTACATAAAATACATTTAACAGACAAATCAATCAATCAGTCTTTGAGACTATTAATTAAACTTCTGTCTATTTATGGTTAAAAGAGTGTGTTTTATTCTGGTTTTTGTAAGATTTGAATCCTTTACTGTCTGTATGGTGAAACTGGTCCTGGACTCACAGCACTTAAAAAGGTATATTATTAGGCATGTGTTTATACTAATAGATTATCTGTTAGTGAGGCAAATTTGCAATATCATAAGGCTCCCAGAATTGTTTGTCACCTTTCTCTGACACCGCCACAGAGCCGACCACCACCAGGTTGACCTTTATCTTCGCATCAAGGCCAACGGGCACACTGAAGTCTTTCACACCCTGAAGGAAGAAGTTCAGAAGATAGAAGAGAAGATAAAACAGGTTTAGGTAAAATCTTGGGTGTTTATGAATCATATTGAAATGAATGAAAATATGTAAACCAAGCGAGTTGAAACCTGAGAGGAGGAGCATATGCGTAGCTGTTCTTTGCTGGCTCCCTGGGGAGGAGTGATTTTATTGAAGAGGCCGGTACGAAGACGAGGAGTTGGGACCAATAAAGTTTTCCGCGCCTGCAAAAGATCCCAAAAATTAGCCACCAGGCATTTACAGTTACTAAATTTGATTAGCAGATTAAGACTGGATTGGAGTAGATTCAGTGAGTGATGGCAGAAATATCAAAATACTATGTAGATTCATATTCAGTGGATGCAAAGCATTGATATGCATGAAGTATCACTTCAAGAGGAGAAGCCGAGGATATAATACAGAAACTTACAGTCCAATCTAACAAGCTCTGGTGTCTAATAGAGAATTTGTAATCATTCCTCTTCACTAATTCTTTTGATTTCTAATTTGAACCCCTCCATGTGAACCATATTGACATGGTAACAAAACATTAATTTCTGTAATACAGCCTGAGGCACTCTGGTTCTTGATGTGTTTTCCACAGTTCAGTGCTACCTGCAGCACTGCCAGTCGGGCACCCTCCAGAGGTTTATCAGGATCCACCTTCACCTCAGCGGTATGGGTGAACACCTGCAGCTCAGACACCTTGGCACAGGCTGTGAAAGCACCCTGGTTGAGAGAAGAGGAGGATACAAGGGCTGACAACAGTTGCAACAGTCAACTTACTTCCAGAGTGACAAAGCGCGCCTGCTGCTGGGGTTTGTCTGGGTTTACTTTGACTGTCTGGCTGGACTTGAACTCGTGTAGGTCTGCAAGTCTGTCGCATGCTTGGTTTGCACCCTGGCCAGTGAGTACACAGTGAAAGAGATGCATAGATGCAGAGACAGGGCAGCCATTAATCAGTCAAAGTTCAAGAAAATCAGTCAAGAGCTGCTGTGAAAACCTCCAAACCTGGTGTCATTATAGTAGCAATGATTTTACCCAGTGTGGCATTTACTGCCTTGGAACAAATGTTATCTACAAATATTTACATGCTAATTTAATTTTGCAACATATGGAACACAAACAGTGACTTGTGTTAATTTACATACAGTACAGGCCAAAAGTTTGGACACACCTTCTCATTCAATGCATTTTCTTTATTTTCATGACTATTTACATTGTAGATTCTCACTGAAGGCATCAAAACTATGAATGAACACATGTGGAGTTATGTACTTAACAAAAAAAGGTGAAATAACTGAAAACATGTTTTATATTCTAGTTTCTTCAAAATAGCCACCCTTTGCTCTGATTACTGCTTTGCACACTCTTGGCATTCTCTCGATGAGCTTCAAGAGGTAGTCACCTGAAATGGTTTCCACTTCACAGGTGTGCCTTATCAGGGTTAATTAGTGGAATTTCTTGCTTTATCAATGGGGTTGGGACCATCAGTTGTGTTGTGCAGAAGTCAGGTTAATACACAGCCGACAGCCCTATTGGACAACTGTTAAAATTCATATTATGGCAAGAACCAATCAGCTAACTAAAGAAAAATGAGTGGCCATCATTACTTTAAGAAATGAAGGTCAGTCAGTCCGGAAAATTGCAAAAACTTTAAATGTGTCCCCAAGTGGAGTCGCAAAAACCATCAAGCGCTACAACGAAACTGGCACACGTGAGGACCGACCCAGGAAAGGAAGACCAAGAGTCACCTCTGCTTCTGAGGATAAGTTCATCCGAGTCACCAGCCTCAGAAATCGCAAGTTAACAGCAGCTCAGATCAGAGACCAGATGAATGCCACACAGAGTTCTAGCAGCAGACCCATCTCTAGAACAACTGTTAAGAGGAGACTGCGCGAATCAGGCCTTCATGGTCAAATAGCTGCTAGGAAACCACTGCTAAGGAGAGGCAACAAGCAGAAGAGATTTGTTTGGGCCAAGAAACACAAGGAATGGACATTAGACCAGTGGAAATCTGTGCTTTGGTCTGATGAGTCCAAATTTGAGATCTTTGGTTCCAACCGCCATGTCTTTGTGAGACGCAGAAAAAGTGAACGGATGGATTCCACATGCCTGGTTCCCACTGTGAAGCATGGAGGAGGAGGTGTGATGGTGTGGGGGTGTTTTGCTGGTGACACTGTTGGGGATTTATTCAAAATTGAAGGCACACTGAACCAGCATGGCTACCACAGCATCCTGCAGTGACATGCCATCCCATCCGGTTTGCGTTTAGTTGGACGATCATTTATTTTTCAACAGGACAATGACCCCAAACACACCTCCAGGCTGTGTAAGGGCTATTTGACCAAGAAGGAGAGTGATGGAGTGCTGCGGCAGATGACCTGGCCTCCACAGTCACCGGACCTGAACCCAGTCGAGATGGTTTGGGGTGAGCTGGACCGCAGAGTGAAGGCAAAGGGGCCAACAAGTGCTAAACACCTCTGGGAACTCCTTCAAGACTGTTGGAAAACCATTTCAGGTGACTACCTCTTGAAGCTCATCGAGAGAATGCCAAGAGTGTGCAAAGCAGTAATCAGAGCAAAGGGTGGCTATTTTGAAGAAACTAGAATATAAAACATGTTTTCAGTTATTTCACCTTTTTTTGTTAAGTACATAACTCCACATGTGTTCATTCATAGTTTTGATGCCTTCAGTGAGAATCTACAATGTAAATAGTCATGAAAATAAAGAAAATGCATTGAATGAGAAGGTGTGTCCAAACTTTTGGCCTGTACTGTAAATTTAGGAAAAGATAACTTTGTTTAAGAAATTTCAATTTCACTACTTCTGAAACTGAGCTCTGTGAACAAACAAACACAAAAAATACTGTTTCGAGGTCCAGTGTGTAGGATAAAGGGAGATATACTGTCAGAAACTGAATATAATTAGTGTGTTTTCTGTAGTGTATAACAACCTGAAAATAATAATTGTTGTGTTTTTGTTGCCTTACAATGAGCCATTTATATCTACATAGGGAGTGGGTCTTCATCCGTGGAGTATGCCATGTTTCTACAGTAGCCCAGAATGGATAAACCAAACACTAGGCCATTCACATTTCCGCATAATCATGATGGCCACCATGGTTAACAGGCCCTCTGCAACAAACAGCATCAGAAAAACACTTTTATTTGGTGTTTTTAGCTGTTTAAATCACAGGTTCCATTTGTTTTGGAGAGGAGGAGACCTCTGCAGATAATTTGGCTCCTGGTTGCAATCTGCAAATTCACAGCTAGATGTCACTAAAACCCCCTATATCTTACACACTGGACCTTTAATGGACTTACAATAGGCTTTACTGTGTAATTTCATCAGCTATAACCATTACTATTAATTTGTCTTGTTGTAAGCACCTCTGTGTGTTAAATATTTGTTTTATTGTAGTGTTTGGACTCGATATTCATAATACATACTACCAACTACATTGACTATACTGTGTACTCGTGGCCCCCATGTAAGAGACAGTTAATATGTATATTAGTGTGTAGATGTGTAGATTTGGGTCACAACTAGCTATACAGCAGCATTACATTGGTCCCTCACTGCTCAAATTAAATTAACAATTAAATTGCTTTAACCTGCCTTGAAATTAGGGATTCTGTTGTGGACAGGCCTGGGGAAATTAGCCAGATTATTGTCTTCGATGTAGTCCCAAACTTTCTGACGGATGTCCCATTTCGTGGCTCCTGCAGAGAAAACGACACCTGTTTTAGTGACAGACCCAAAGTGCAGTGAGGATAACATTAGCCAAACTGCTCCACATTAGCATGCGTTTACAGCCATTCATAGCCACACAACCAACGTCACGAACAATTAACCCACCGAAATTACTCCTATAACATGCTCCGTTATGTTACTGGTGATATAAATTAGTTACTTCAACAACTGAACGGGCTTCGTGGTGAATTCAAAGTGAAGCAAGACGACGCTGCGTTAGCCAAACATTTCAAAATGCTCCATGTTAGCATGCAACGACTTTCATTTTTAACGACACGAGCATTCAACCTACCAGGTTTTATTATTATAGACGGCTCCATTGTGTTATTGGTGATAGAAATTAGTCTCTGATACAAAACTCGGTTACACTGCACGCAGGAAAGTCACATGTGAGCGCTGTAACATAAGACTGATAGAACAGCTGCTTGTCAGTGTTTATCACTGCTACGGCGGCTCAGAGCAGTCAAATTTAACCAAACGCGAAGCTGAAAACATCAAACTGGCAAATGACAAACAAGGCAAACTGTCTGGGAGGGAATCATACCAAACATTGTATTACAGTAAAGGTTGGGAATACCTGTACTTTGATTATTTCTATTTTTGTTTACCTCCTTCGTCTTCTTGGCTTGGTAAGTTTGTTTAGTTCCATTTAACAATAAGGTGATTCAAAGTGCTTCAGACAAGGCATCAAAGGCCACAAGGCATTATACAGAGACAAAAAAGAAAAGAAAATAATATTTTTTAAAGACTAAAATAACATGAAATACAAAAATAAAACAAAATGAAAGCCTCCCGAAAGTGTAACAACATTCAAACATATGCCGATAATTTTTTAATTCATTTTATAATTTATTTCAACAAGTGTGTTTTTGGATTTTTAATTTACTTCAAATATTAGGTCAAAAAAATACAACAAAAAGCAAGTAAGGTAACAACTGCTACGACAGGGCAATACAATGAGTACTTTTCCAAGGTTCAAAATAAAAATAAAAAAATAAAACAAAGGAAAGAAAGAGGACAAAAAAATGCACATAATTGTGTTGCATTCAAGAGATTAAGACAAGTAGACTTCTGTAGTCTTCTCCCCCTCTAGAAGTGTAATAAAACATCCCCATCCCCAAAGTAGAATATCTACACTTAATCATGAGAGTAAATTTTTCTAGGGCAACGGAGTGTGACAGCCCAGTAAGCAAGGTGTACAAACTTGGTCTACTAGGGGATTTTCAGAATCTGGCTAAGGTGGAATATAATTTATTGCTTTTAACTTTCTCAACAGTATTAAAGTAGCAGTATACCTGCACTTACAGAATAAAATACATGCAAGTTAACCTGTTAGCATGAGTAGTGTCACTTTAAATAATTTGCTTCTAACACAGCCATACTGTTGCTCAGATCAAAATGTGAATGCTGATGTGACTTTTACTCTTAGTTTTAATTTTATAGTGTGTTTTAACATTCTGCTTCTTAAATTAAGGATTTAAATGATTTTTCTTGTGATGGTGAAGCACATAGAACTTCATCTGCATAGAAATTGCACTTTATATGCAGGGATTTTTATTTCTCAAAGCTGAAATCGACTTTGAAGCTGGTCTGGAGCAGTCATATCTGGTATTGTGCTGGTCAAACTGTTTTACTGTAAAACCTTGTATGGTATAGCAGTCATGTACTCTGTGTGTGTGTGTGTGTGTGTGTGCATGTTCATTTCAGGCAGCCCCAAGCAGCTAGTGATGGGTTTATAGGGGAGGACATGGGAACGTTGGGACAGCTGTGGCATGGAGCATTCTTGCTAAAGCTGCTGCAGGAGTCCAGAGCCGAGATGATTATAGTTGGAAGAAGAGGATGGGCAGTGTCCCTGGTGAGGAAGGGACTGATTCAGCATCTGCTGCGGAGTGCAAACCAGCAGGATGGGGTTGTGGTTCAATGTGGGTCTTGCATGGCAGCTGGTAGTCTTGCGTGACGCTATAATTGTTGGTAGGCTGTTGTCAGTGATGACAGTGTGGTCTTGCAGGGGGCAGCAGTAGGGAAAAAAAGTTTATATTTGTAAATGTGTGTACAGAAAAATCATCTCATCCTTGAAGGCAAGGTAATTGGCCAGAAGCTGACATCATATAGTAAACTGAAGATGGATGCTTAGTGTGACTGATGATGAACAGAGATTTTGTGGGATGAACTGGACTGGGCTCAAGAAAGGATACAGTATCCATTTGTGATGCCATTTCTGGGAAGTGTGACCTGAGAACATGATAATTAGCTGGTTGCCTCTGGTAAAAAGCTTTTCTGATCTGGATCCCCATCCACTGTAAGTCATTTGTCATTTACTCATTGTATGAAGTTATTGTTCTTCAGACTTTTCAGTAGCAACCTTAAAAATAGGAACATTTGGATTTGGGTTTTTAGGTTTTTATGCTCAGTACATTTGCTCTTGCCATTATTATAAGTAATTCACTAAGGTACCATCACCTCAGAGGACATAACATCAGCTATTAGTATATGCATATTAACATATTGCATTTAGAAACTACAATTTTAACATTTCTTCACCAGATGTTTTTCAGTACTGTACTTCCTTTGTATATAGATGTAAGTCAGACAATGAAACTATATGAGAAAGGAGGAACACAGCTTGAGAACGTGGTAATACAGCTGAAAGGCCACAACAGTAGCGTGGTGCCTCTGTTGAAAGACTGTTAATCCAGTACTGGCTTATTAGATCTTAGATATTTTAAAGAACACAAACACAGTTTCTTATATTTTACTGTAAACTTGACAGTAAGTTAAGCAGCACCACCTGCAGGCCTTTAGGTTTCATGTGCCCTTTAGCCTAGTTATTAAACAGCAGAGAATTAATATCAAATATAATGTCCACCCACTTTGACCTCCATCTTCACCTGATTTTTTTCAGGCCGTCTACAGGTAGTCAGCAGTATTTACACGTGTGTGTAATCTGTATACTGCAAAGTCCCATGAAAGAGTCCCATCTCCTCACAGTGTACTTTACCTCCCTGAAATGACCACATTAAATCTAACCCATCGTGGTGTTCGAGTCATGTTTCCCGCAATCGTACTGGTCAGGATTTTGCAGTGAAATTCCAGTGGATGGCTGTTTGTTGCAGTTTTGAAGTAGTTGCAGATGGTCTGAAGTATCCCACTGAAGACAGACATCTTGGAAATCAAAAACTGTTTGACATTCTCCCCCAAGTATTGAGAAAATGAGGAGAGTCCTCATCTGCACTTTGCTATACAAGCAGCTGTCAGACATGTTGGAAAAAAACTTTGTACTTGTGAACTTATAAGGATCTTTCTAACAGTAACACTTTAAGACATAGGCTAACTGTGACAATATGTGAACACAAACAAGCAAATATGAGTAAATATATGAGAGTATACTAGCATGCACAATAGCAGGATCCTGAACTGAAGCAGCTAAATGGAATTCAGCCATCAGTATTTTAATATTACACGGGTGCTTTTCTTTCTGTGACATGTCAACTCTGTTAAAAGGCCTATAGCACAGGTTTACAGTTAAATCCTCAAATGTAAAGGACAGTGTATAAAGGACACTGCTTGCTCTGTGATTTTATGAAATGGATATACAATATTGCACCACCCTGCAAGATATGTGACATAAGGGTAAACTCTTGCATTTAACATGTAATTTTAAAACACTTTGGATTACTGCCCACACATTTACAGTGTATTTAGATGGCAGTGTTGATCGTGATACAATAAATCCTCTGGAACTTTTATTGAGAAAACAGTTACAGTAACAATACTAAGAGTCTGCAGCCATGTTGTCAGCTCTGTGAGGCTGGACTTGTGTTTTGAGATAAATGCTAACATCAGCATGCCAGCATGTTCACAATGACAATGCTAACATGCTGATGTTGAGCAGGTAGGCTATGATGTTTATGGTCACCAACTTAGTTTAGCATGTTAGCATGCCATAATGTGCAATTTAGCAATGAAGAGAAAGTACAGCTGAGGCTGATGGGGATTTCATTAATTTAGCAGGCACCAAACAAAAGTAGCAGGGTCCCCATGGTCATGGTAACCTGGAAAAGTCAAAATCACATTTTACAGGACTGGAAAAGTCATAGTATTAGTAAAATCCTCGAAGGTTTTGGGAAAATAATGGATTTTTGGATGTAATTATGTTATGCACAGTAATATTCTGTGGATAACCTTCAGTGTAATGTAACATGACAGCAAACTGAGCAAACCCTCAATTCAAGATGTCAAGCTCAGCTCACATCCCAGCTACATCAGCTGATCTCAAACAGCCCAATCAACTGATGGAGCAGCTGTTGATGGAAGAGAGTCAGCTGATGAACCAATTGGCAAATCTCATTCAGGGCACCCTGTTTAAACTGCTTTAGCTTGCCTACTGTTGCTGCTTCCTGTGCAAGCTGCTTTGCAACCTGCCTCCACCCCAGCTCCTCCTTTTCTTGCTGTGTCTGACTTATCAGTGTCATTTCTGTTTGTCATTGATGCTGAATCAGTTCTGTTCCCGGGGTCTTTGCTGCTGCTCCATGTAGGCGCATGGAAGGGCAAGGAGGTTTGCTCTCTCTGCCTTAGGCTTTCCTCATTTGTAGGTGGAAGGGCAGACTTGTGTGCTCTCTCTGCCTTAAGGTTTTCACGTAGACGCGTGGAAGGGCAGAGAGGTTTGCTCTCTCTGCCTTAGGCTTTCCACGTAGGCGTGTGGAAGAGGCTTTCTGCGTAGGCCTGAGGAAAGGCAGAGGCCCCAGAACAGAGCCATACCGCCAAATATAGTACTGCAAATGGAAATAAAGTTTTCTTTGGCAAAAGTGTTTCTGGCTGAAATTTATTTACTGTAGCTGTTGATGTAATGTAGCTCTAATATGTGTTGACATATGACTTTTTGTTTACAATATACAATAATTATAATACAATAATCTACATTTGGAGTACACTATACTATACAGTTTTTGCTATATACTTAAGTTGTAACAGATGTCACCTTTAAAGAGCTGCCACATCTGATAGATATTTATTTATTTTGGGGCCATTTAATAAGGTTTGTAACTAGAAAGGGGTTTGAATTATTTTTTGTTTTCTAGTAGGCCCTACTGCTTCTTGTTGCAGACTCCAGTCACAGAGGGAGACAAAGGGCGTGACCCTGCTGATGGTGGTACAGCTGTGGTGTTTGTGGTAGTTTTTGGGGCATAATAGGAATGTATGATTACCTGAAGGTGTTAGATCTCGTCACTAGAGGGCGAGCTCTACCAACAGATTCCCCTCAGCAGACAGAAGCACCATTTCCTCCTTTTCTGAAGGCATGGGATTCAGATGGGTATATTTGTTATTTGAATATCCATAAACTGTATCAGATTGCTACATATCTCTTTTAATCATCTGCCTTGCTGTCATCCAGGCATATTAATCTCTGAGCTGTGCATATTTGTCATGAACAGACCCATC